GCTTGTAGCCCAACCATAGAATGTATATAAGAAGTGGACGTAGTCGTCATGACGTCACCCATTGGTTTGTGGACTGCCGTTCTGAAGCCTTGAGTTCGGCAATTTCGCCATGAGCTTCGCCATGAATGGAAGTTAACATATTTGGAATAGAGACATAGAGACGCCGCATACGGCTCTGGTAGTGGCAGCAAACTGTCAATCACAAGGTAGCCCTGCCCTAAAGCATACTCTGCTTTATGGTCTGTTTGACTCTAAATGGACCATAATTTACTAAATGAACATCATGCTGTATTGAAGAAGACTTGAAACTAGAGATTGAGACCATAAACTCATGTTTACTGAGGTAATAAATCAAGAGAGAAGTAGAGTCATTTTCTCATAGACTTCTATACAATCTGAGGAGTCGCCCCCTGATGGTCAGTAGAGAGAATGCAAGTTTTAAGACACTTCCACATCGGCTTCACTCAGCAGAACTGGAGGTTGCTGCCTGAGCGCAACAGTTCAGAACAGGCATCAAGACTTTTGCCTTCAGATCTGGTTGGACGACATATTGTTTGAAGAATATCTGGAATAGTGGGAATGGATTGCTGTTTCTTATTGCTGGTATGTTATTTTTCATTCGTGATATGTTGTTTGAAGAATATCTCTCAATGTGACTGATATTACTGTCCACGTCCACAAACCAACTAATTGCAATAGAGCGCGAGATGACGCAAAATACACGTGTCAACACAGTATTCTAACCACCATTTTGATCTGTTTTTTTTCTTTTTTTAAGGAGGCTCTGTGCTAGCTCTACGACTCTACTTGTTTCTGTTTTGCAGCATTTATGAAACGTTGGCATGGAAGCGTCTTGGATATTTTCTTCCTTTACATTGTAGGTCTACGATTCACCATGTATTCATTGCACTCCAACATTTCTCAGTGTGGTATGCAAACCTGCAAGATTGCTGCTATTACAGAGTGTAAAGGCCTTTAGTGGGAATGGATTGCTGTTTCTTATTGCTGATATCTTATTTTTCATTCATATGTTGTTTTACTCAAGTTATGTACTTTGAAAACAATAAGAAAGCAAACCGTAAGATATATAAATATATACTTAACTGAATTGTGCTTTCTTTTCTGATAGTATCATGTCAAAGAGCATTCAAAGCTGTAAAATCTAGAAGGGATCATTATTCATCTTTTAAGGTTATGTTCTGTGAGACGACCCCACATTTGAATCGCAGGTTCAGTGCAGTCGCTTTTATTCATGAAGCTCATTGTCTTTTCCACTCTGCATAAGTTTGCCAACAATTGGTTAGCTCGGTCCGTCCAACTTTGAACTGGCAATGTGAGAAATGTTTTTTCAATGGGCATTTCAGTGCTGATGGCTTCTGCTGTTTCCATAAGCCTGCTGGCCTCTCCACCTCCCATTAAGTGTAATGCGGGTGGAAATGTCTCTCTTAACTCGCGGAGCACCTCTCACATCCCTCAGAGACCAATAGCTGGAATGACAAATAGGAGGGCACGTCGGCGAGGCATTTAAGGCTGCTAACGAGATAAAGCGGCCGAGCTTGGCACCTCTCACCCGCTCGCTACTCCTCCGCCCCGCTTACTGTCATCTGTGGCGGCTAAAGAGCTTTAGCGGAGAGGCCCCTGAAGTGGGGGCCACGAGCCAGCTCGGCTTTATCCCTCCCTCACTCCCTCTTTCCCACTCTCCCGCCTCTTCTCTCCCCTTCCCTGCCTGGATTCCTCCCACCATCGGCACATAATTAAAAGCGCCGGGCTGAGTGCCCAAGTGGCTGAAGGCTATGAGTCACTCCCCAAGCCTGGAAGAATGAGGGATAAATCACCCGGGGGAGGAGTGCCGGAACTTCTCTCTCCCCTCACACCTGGGTTCATTCGGGGGGACCCTATTACTAGGCCCTCCAATTACCCTGTCCCGCCAGCCTGAATTTATTTGTGCTGCTCCCCCACCACCATAAAATTATAACTTTGCCTGATCATTTTTTGCTCGATGCAGTCCAACCCAAGGTTAATGGCCGCCTAGCTGACTTTGAGGAGACTGAAGGATGCCGCCGCTGCGATGCTCTTGTCCTCCTCCTCATGCCCCCTCCTTTCATCCTCTTATTCAGCCTGTAAAAGTAGTACAGGGAAGGGGAGTGGAAGTGCCTAGCAGGAGTTATTGTCCAGTGCAACCCCATTAACGGTCCCCCAAGGTGCTGTAAGTGTCTCTCTTATTGGAGAAACCGCCATTAATTGTCTGATCAAACCTTGAGACCCTCACTGTTTTACTGCATTGTAGGCCCTGAACTGCATTCAGTGGAGGGCCCTCATAGAATAGATTTCCATCTAATAAAAATAACTCAGTGAGGAGGAGTTTCTATTAACTTCTTATGGATAAAAGTTTAGCCTGTTTGTTGAACTTGTGTGCTGTGACGCCTAGACAGCCGATGTTTTTTCAAGTGCAGACTGCATTACACCGAGTCAAGGAAACCTGCAAGTGTTTCTGGTGCCTTACAGTAGTCAAAGTGTAACTCTTCACAAATTTAAAAGTTAAAGGGGACGAATCATGCTCATTTTCAGATTCATACTTAAATTTGGGGTTTCCACTAAAATACGTTTCCACACTTTAACGTTCAAAAACCTCTTTATTTTTCCCTCACACTGTCTGTCTGAATATATATATATATATATATATATATATATATATACCCTCCGTCTCAAGCGCTCCGTTTTTCGTGCCTGTCTCTTTAAGCCCCCCTCCCCGAAAAAGCCCAGTCTACACTGATGGAGTTTGAGGGAAAGAGAGGGTACCTTCATCACATAAGCAACTGGACAAACACCAACAGTTATGAAAGAAAGGGTTTTAGTTATAAATTATCAACAGTGATATGTTTTGATGTCAGTCCCTTGGATTTAGACAGCAGGGGGGCTCCTTATTACATTTCCCAGCTTGAAACACAAATAAGTAAATCATGTACAATCAGGGACAGCATGTTCTCCACTGAGAGTGACTTCAATGACCCTTCTAGCTAAATATTTGTGCAAGGTGTCACTCAAGTTTTCTAATCTACCCTATCATTGTTGGTTTTTACACCCACAGCACCTGTTAACACCACAGGGAATACAGCGTTTTGGGATCTTTTCCCTTAAATGGTCCATTAAGACTGCAAAATAAAGGTGAACCCGACGAGGAATTTACATAGTCAGACCTTGTGTGTGTGTGTTCACACAAATCTAATGTGCACTTTCGTCAAACATTTATATGACCCTTCGTACAGCTGGATGTTGTTTTTATGCGTGCATGCGTGCATTCCTGAAACAGAGATGGATCCACAGACGGTTTCTTATCGTGGCTGTTAATAGAACTTTCGGCCCTAATTAAACCTTGGCTAAGCCCCGCCCCCACCCTGCGACTCAGTCAAGCTGCCAGAGCTACCATGGAGCCCACACTGTCACTAACCGCACCATCTGAGGAAATCTTATCTAATCTTTTGAAAAACTAAAAAGTGATTTTAGAGAGAAGCAGACAGAAAGGTCTACAATATGTGTTTAAAGGATTTATCCAGGATGTCAAACTGATTGAGCAGTGAAAACAGGTTGAAAAGATAAAGATAGAATCTACAGATCTCAGTGTGAAGGTGAACCATCTCATCACCTGGAGATCCAGACAGAAGACAATGAAATAGCTAACGTACTCTGCTAATGTTGGCTCCACAGGTTTTTAATGTAGAAATATTTGAGAAACTTATATCTCCTTCCAACCTCTCCAAGTGACCTGTATCACTATTACACAACGTTTAACCATGACGAGCTCCAAATCCACTAAATACAGAACATTTGAAACCATTGCATGAGAGTCTATGGAGCAGAGCCGGATAGTTGTCGGACCCTGGTCAGAGCTGGCCGATGCTACGCTATGATTGGCCAGTCTGCCAATTGGCCAGTTTGAAGGCGCGTCCCGTGCAAAAGATCAACTCCACCTTCTCCCCAATATAGTTATCCACAGATAAAAGGAAAACGACATGGAAGTGAAAAGGCCGACAACGAGAGAGAGAGAAGCTAGCCCTCAACACCTGCTTCTACACTCCTCCCTACTCGAATTGTTCATGATTTCAAAATATATTTAGCACTCTGACAGTGCTACTTTCTAATGTGAGTGCTCATGATTTATTGGGAGAAACTGCGCATCTGTAAAATCAGACATTTAGCACCGTCTTATAGCCAGAATGGAAGGAACCTTTGTTTTATAATCACATTTTTCCGCCACTGTGACAATTCAACGAAGATTGTCATTTGAATTGGGCGATTAAAGTCAGGTGAATAGCCAACTATTCGGGGTCACCTCAACTGTGAACAAAAATGTTTTCTGTATTGTTGCTGCCCTACTCATGACTGTCCTACTCGTATGCAGATCAAAACATTAGAGCGACATTACGCTTAGCCATAGCTAAATTATCATCTGCTGCCATCTGGTTTGTTTACAAGAAATATTTTAATGAAGAACCCAATTAAAGCCCTTTTCCCAGCCCCTTTATAGCAGGGCCATTTGTCAAAAAAAATCTAAATAAATTTGATGAGTTTTATCGATTTCCTTTTTGTTCTTCCTTTTTCCTCTCACTCCTCCAACGGAACTCCCATGACTCCTTCTAAAAGTGTCTTAATAATCGCTTTAAAAGGCCAAATCAAGATGAAAAGTCTTCAGCCGTGTGGAGATGACGGGGGGTAAAAAAAGAACCAAAGAGATGCCTCCCTTGAAATGACGTTTACTATCATATTAAAAAGAGGAACCTTTTTTCTTTTTTTTTTTTTGATGGAAGGAATCAGAGGAGCGAGCGAAGCTTTGAACTGTGTCGTGTGTGTGTGTGTGTGTGTGTGTGTGTGTGTGTGTGTGTGTGTGTG